GACCGGATGGATCTCAGTGTCTGCTCTCCCGAGCCGTCCCTTACTGTGGGTCACACACAGGTCCAGGGAGCTGGACAGGCCCCTCTCCCGAAAGCCCTCCAGGCACAGAATGGAGACACATGGGGAAGAATGAAGCACCCTCACCTCCCGCCCAGTGATGTCCCAGCGCCACGGCGAGGCCAATGGTCGCCCAAAGCGAGCGCGCCGTCCCCTCGGGAGAAACGGCTCACAAAGCACGAATAAAACACCACATGTATCTCCTCCAAACCTCGCCCCTCGGGGAAGGCAGCAGGGAAAACGCCTCTAGTTTGAACAATCAGGCTTGTAAACAGCTCAACCACACGAGCAGCAGAGGCCCTGAGTCAGCACCCACCTCCCAGACCCCGCGTCTCTGCAGACCAGAGCCACTCCCACTCAGCAGCAGTGCCCGGGCGCCCTGCCCAGGGACGCCCAGCCCAGGGGCGCCCAGCCCAGGAAGGCCTGGAACCCACCAGCAACGCCAAAGCTGCATCTTTGGTTAATTTCACTGAGTTGCCACTAGTCTTAAACTGTGCTCTTGGCAAAATTACTGAATGAGCCGCGTGGCACATAACATCTGTTGTTTTAAGTTATTTGAAAAGCATGTCCACCTAAATGCTTGACCGTGACTGAAGTCATTTAAAGATGAAGGGAATGACAGACGGGGGGAGGAGAGCTGCGGAGTCCAGCCTGAGCACCCGCGTTGGCCTGGAGGAGCTACTTACGAGGGAGGCGGCGAGCTTCTCTGCGGAGGGTCAGCCCCAGCCGCTCGCTCGCTCAGCTCAGCTCGAAGCCAGCGGCACATTCGATGGCGTAGAGCAGCTTGCTTCGCAGGAGCGCCTCGTCCTGGAACTCGGGGAGCTTCAGCAGGTTCATGCAGGTGCTGGCCGTGGGCAGCCGCTCCAGGTCGGAGCCGCCGTTGTGGATGCAGAAGGCGGGGTACAGCTCCTGGAAGACAGTGGCAGCCAGCTGGCCCTCAGCAGACGTTTACACACCGAGCACACAACGCAGCCTAAACGGCAGAGACGCACGCTGCACAGCGCAGGCACACGGACAAACAAGGACCTGCGGGCCAGCGCAGGGAACCCGGGCACCTGGACCCAAAGCCACCGTCCTGCTCTGACCGGGCACCTGGGCCCATCCCAAGCAGGACAGGCTGCCCCGGCCGAACCCGCGTCAGCTGCGTGCGGTTTCCCAGGCGTGGTGAATGGAACACACGTTCCGCGACGCGGGCAAACCGAGCGGGAGCACAGCCCAGGAAGCCTTCGACAGGGAGACTCCCGTGCTTCTTACCGCTGGCCCTCGCACTTTCTCTACCGCTGCACTGAACTCCACGCAGATGACACACGTGGCAGGCGATACGGGCTAAAGCCCAGCCCCTTGTTCTGTTTGTAGTTTACACGCTACTTCAAACGTCGCATGAGCACATCCGAGCAGGAAGGACAGGGGGCCGGGGCACCCCTGCCTGTGTCCTACGTGGCCTTCAGCACACCGAGGGCAACGCCACTCGGCCGCTCAGCGAGGGCCTGCGAGGGCGGGTTGTGCGCACAGGGCACACACACGGTCGTGGGACTGGCTGGGTCAAGGGGAGCTTGAACATATTTTGCAGCTAAATGCCACATTTCTGTGTTTCTCTCATAATGCTAATTGAATTTCCTACTTGGAGCCTTAAAAGTAGGAAAAATGAAGCTCTTTGCTGAAACCGGCATCAAGGGCACCGCCTCATGCATAATTAAACAGCGAGACGGGAATCTGCATTAATTCAGGGAGAAAATCCTCCATTCATTATGTGGCCTGATGGCAACTTAACAATTTTCTACAGCACTTTAATGATTTTTTTGTCTGTAACAATCACATTCATTAAACACATTAAACTTTAATTAGCTTTAGCAAATGCTACTCTTCAGTAACTGGCGCTAAGGAGCGTCCCAGCTGGAGTTACGCAGCCGCCTCCTACTTGTGGGGCTTCCGCGGAGACCGGCTCCCCTTCCGTCTGAGCTCCGCCAGCCCTTCACGGGCACCCGGCCGACTGGGAAGCACCCGTATGAGGGTGAGTTTCTCAAATGTGAGGTCTAACTTATGACGACTGCAAAAACCTTTGAAAACTCTTAAATTTCACATTTAANGCTAACCCTGTGACAGGAGGAGCCGTCTCAGGGACATCTGGGTTTGTCAGGGGCTCAGCCTGCTGCACCAGTCTGCTCTGAGGGGCTGCAGACGCCGGGNTGCCGGGCAGGGCTGGCCAGCGAGGGGGCGTCGTGCACAGAGGTGACTGACCCCAGCAAACACCCGGGACGGGGCTCCTGGTGGGCCCCTCTGCTGATTTGACCGGCACCCTTTCACTGCACAAAGTGTAGCCATGAGTCCTGGAGAGTCACTAAGCCCAGGGTGGTCTGGGGACCCCAGGCAGTGGGGACTGGAGATAAGTCTGAGTGGTCATGACGTGAGGGGGAACAGGGGAGGAGCCCACGAATGTGGAGCTGAGCCGCTCAAGTGTGAGCACACCGTCCATCTGTCCATGAAATGAGACATCACTGACCAAACTGCGGGCCTCCCCCACGGTCACCTTCCAGGAGAAACACAATACCTGTCACAAACGTAAAATAAACGAGGAACACACGTCTCATCCTGTTTACTCCCCAACTGTTTCTCACTCCGCCCGCCTCCCATCAGCCCTCTCCCGGACGGTGTCTGCACAGTGCTGTGCCCCCGACCAAAAGCCTGTCCACGTACCTGCTGTCCAACGGCACGTTTTCCGTGGAAAAGCATCTATTGAGGTCCCCTGTCCGTTTTTTTGCTGTGGGTTCCTGCACATTCCGGGGCGGCCACGGGCAGGACCGGAGGCATCCCTGCTGTGTGCAGCGGGCCTCTGACCTGCACCCGGTGACGCTGAACCTGGGAGCTCGTGAGGCGCTCACATGGATGCTACTTGGCTGGGGACCCTTCCTCCACAGATGGAGCAGATCCAGTCCTGTGCCCCGGGCGGCAGTCCGGGTGCCTGGCGCACAGGTTTAGGAACAAACTCCCGCCTGAACGACACGTTCATTCCAGTGGGGGTGGGGGGACCTATTCGCACGAAATGAATGAAGGACAAACCAGTGCCCCGGAGAGACGTGGGCAAGGACGGGGTGCTGGGGACAGTGGCGGTAGGAGAGGTGACACCAAACGGGGAGGGGCCTGGGGACAGCCAAGAGGCAGCCACGTGCCTGTGGCACAGCGAGTGCCGGGGCCCTGGGGCTCTGGAAAGAGACCAGGAAGCCGAGGAGCCGTCAGCACAGAAGGTCCGGGGGAGACGGGGCTTCCCGACAGCCCAGGGCGCCTGCTCTGGGCGACGCAGGCGCTGGGGGGCCGTGCCGGGGCTCAGCCTCGGCGGCAGGGGCAGCAAAGCGAGGCCGTAAGGCTGCTCTGCGCATCACACGCGACGCTGGTCCTTCCCACGCCAGCCGACGACGCAGGGTCCATCGCCCAGGAGGGGCCACCCCGGGGCACTCGAGTCACCCCCGAAACAGCGGGGTGGGGGTGCAGAGGGGTGAGCACTGAGGGTGCTGGTCCCGAGCCGGCTCTGCGGGGGGAGCGCCTTTGCGAGGGCGCCGGTCGCCCTGCGGTGTGTGGGCGGCGCTCAGGCTACAGGAGGGACGTGTGCAACCTGACGCCACCCTGCAGTAGGGACGCTGAGGATTCTGTCACTCGCGTGACATCCTGTGTGGTGCCCCCAGACGTGCAGCGACACAGCCCTCGGGCCTCACGCTCGCCGCAGAGCCTCGGTCCCTTCAGCTGCCTGCGCTTTCCCGGCTGTCCCCGGCCTCCGAGGTCACCAGCTGTTGCCCCCCGGCATCGCCAGCACCAGGAAAAGGCCTCTGGAGCCGAGAGCCAGCCGGCCCCAGAGCTGATTCCAGGACCTGCCGTGTGGGGCGGCTGGAGCCACTGCTGCTCCGACACCATCACCAAGCTGCTGTAACTAACTCTTTCCGACCTGGAGCTGGTGAGTGTAGGAGCCGGTTGTTTTACACTTGTTTTTTGCTTTTTGGGGGGCGGGGTGGGGGGGTCTCGGCTGTAAGAAATCAGCTCCTAGCTGTGGTGAGCCTCCTGGAGTCTCCGACCCCGGGCCCCGAATTTGTCTATCCGCCGTTTGTCCTTTAGCCTCGGCAGCTTCAACGCTAGGTTACCCGAGCTCAGGGCCCTCGGGAGCTCCCTGTGCGGTTCCCCAGCCCCAGCCTCGGCTGGCCCTGTGGCTTGTGGTCCAGGCTGTGGACCCAGCGCTGCAGGCTGAGGCTGCCAGGCCCCCAGGGCGGCATCTGCACCTGGTGAGGTAATGCCGCCTGAGTGTTCCCAGGACACCCACGAATGTCTATGTGCAGTTAACAGCCTGTGAGAAATACCTGGAACAACCTCCCCTTAAGCTCAGCATTTGGGTTCAAGCACAAAATCACCAGCAATGAGCAGAAAGCAGAACAGAACAGAAAAAGACAAATGGCGAGGAGAAGACTCTCCCTTTAGGAGACTTTTCTCAGCACTGTGATGCTAGCAGCCCCCAAGAGCCCCGCTGGCGACTGTGAGCCCTGCAGCCCCGGCTCTCAGCTCCAGGCACCGAGGGAGGGGACACAGGGCAGCCTGCACAGCCCTGCCCAGCGCGCCCCGCACAACGGGCCTCGCCGCCTCCACCGCCTACCTGACGACAGGTAACCGCCCGTGACAGGCCCAGTGGACACTGAGAAGCTGAGGCTTTATGAGGTGAGAGAACTACCTACAATGACGGGGGTTCCAACACAACCTTGGAAAAAACATTTAATGCAAACATTTACCACTAGAACATACACATAAATAAATAAGCTCAGGAGAGCTGAGGGAAAATAAAACCCTAAGTGTAACTGCCGTTTCTCTCCAGCCCCAGGTGCCCCCAAACACTGGAGACAACCGCACACATCAACCAGGGAGTGAAGGACATTCAACGTACAACCACCTGAAATAAGAATAGAACCAAGGACAAACCCTAATCACTTTATTTCTGTGTATCAAGACTACAAATAGCATTTAACACTTAATTTATTATTCCAATTAAGAAATTATACAGGTTTTGATAATGGTCATTGTCTTAAAAGTGTCGCTCAGTCCCGCATTTAAAAGCATATTGCTAATCTGGTTGTTCAGTGGGACAGCCCGGAGCCCCTGACGGGGAGGAGAGAGTCCGAGCCGGACCCGGCCAGCATCAGAGAGGCGGCCCTGCCTTCGCAGCCAATGCACTGGGCGCGTTGTTTCCAGAGACTGAAGTCACCCAGCAACCAGTCAGGTCCTGATAAAGTGCCTACTACGCGGGAATTACCGACACTCCTCCCCTGGATGCGCGTCTGGGCCTGTCCTGTCTTCCTTCAAAGCAGCACCATTGAGGAAGCAGAGGGAGCAGAAGCGTGGCGAGTTACCCCACGTCAGGGAGACGCCGGCCCGGGGCGAGGGGGACGGCCTGCAGGGCCAGGGTGCAGCCGCCACTTTGGTTCAAGTGACCGGATGGATCTCAGTGTCTGCTCTCCCGAGCCGTCCCTTACTGTGGGTCACACACAGGTCCAGGGAGCTGGACAGGCCCCTCTCCCGAAAGCCCTCCAGGCACAGAATGGAGACACATGGGGAAGAATGAAGCACCCTCACCTCCCGCCCAGTGATGTCCCAGCGCCACGGCGAGGCCAATGGTCGCCCAAAGCGAGCGCGCCGTCCCCTCGGGAGAAACGGCTCACAAAGCACGAATAAAACACCACATGTATCTCCTCCAAACCTCGCCCCTCGGGGAAGGCAGCAGGGAAAACGCCTCTAGTTTGAACAATCAGGCTTGTAAACAGCTCAACCACACGAGCAGCAGAGGCCCTGAGTCAGCACCCACCTCCCAGACCCCGCGTCTCTGCAGACCAGAGCCACTCCCACTCAGCAGCAGTGCCCGGGCGCCCTGCCCAGGGACGCCCAGCCCAGGGGCGCCCAGCCCAGGAAGGCCTGGAACCCACCAGCAACGCCAAAGCTGCATCTTTGGTTAATTTCACTGAGTTGCCACTAGTCTTAAACTGTGCTCTTGGCAAAATTACTGAATGAGCCGCGTGGCACATAACATCTGTTGTTTTAAGTTATTTGAAAAGCATGTCCACCTAAATGCTTGACCGTGACTGAAGTCATTTAAAGATGAAGGGAATGACAGACGGGGGGAGGAGAGCTGCGGAGTCCAGCCTGAGCACCCGCGTTGGCCTGGAGGAGCTACTTACGAGGGAGGCGGCGAGCTTCTCTGCGGAGGGTCAGCCCCAGCCGCTCGCTCGCTCAGCTCAGCTCGAAGCCGGCGGCACATTCGATGGCGTAGAGCAGCTTGCTTCGCAGGAGCGCCTCGTCCTGGAACTCGGGGAGCTTCAGCAGGTTCATGCAGGTGCTGGCCGTGGGCAGCCGCTCCAGGTCGGAGCCGCCGTTGTGGATGCAGAAGGCGGGGTACAGCTCCTGGAAGACAGTGGCAGCCAGCTGGCCCTCAGCAGACGTTTACACACCGAGCACACAACGCAGCCTAAACGGCAGAGACGCACGCTGCACAGCGCAGGCACACGGACAAACAAGGACCTGCGGGCCAGCGCAGGGAACCCGGGCACCTGGACCCAAAGCCACCGTCCTGCTCTGACCGGGCACCTGGGCCCATCCCAAGCAGGACAGGCTGCCCCGGCCGAACCCGCGTCAGCTGCGTGCGGTTTCCCAGGCGTGGTGAATGGAACACACGTTCCGCGTCGCGGGCAAACCGAGCGGGAGCACAGCCCAGGAAGCCTTCGACAGGGAGACTCCCGTGCTTCTTACCGCTGGCCCTCGCACTTTCTCTACCGCTGCACTGAACTCCACGCAGATGACACACGTGGCAGGCGATACGGGCTAAAGCCCAGCCCCTTGTTCTGTTTGTAGTTTACACGCTACTTCAAACGTCGCATGAGCACATCCGAGCAGGAAGGACAGGGGGCCGGGGCACCCCTGCCTGTGTCCTACGTGGCCTTCAGCACACCGAGGGCAACGCCACTCGGCCGCTCAGCGAGGGCCTGCGAGGGCGGGTTGTGCGCACAGGGCACACACACGGTCGTGGGACTGGCTGGGTCAAGGGGAGCTTGAACATATTTTGCAGCTAAATGCCACATTTCTGTGTTTCTCTCATAATGCTAATTGAATTTCCTACTTGGAGCCTTAAAAGTAGGAAAAATGAAGCTCTTTGCTGAAACCGGCATCAAGGGCACCGCCTCATGCATAATTAAACAGCGAGACGGGAATCTGCATTAATTCAGGGAGAAAATCCTCCATTCATTATGTGGCCTGATGGCAACTTAACAATTTTCTACAGCACTTTAATGATTTTTTTGTCTGTAACAATCACATTCATTAAACACATTAAACTTTAATTAGCTTTAGCAAATGCTACTCTTCAGTAACTGGCGCTAAGGAGCGTCCCAGCTGGAGTTACGCAGCCGCCTCCTACTTGTGGGGCTTCCGCGGAGACCGGCTCCCCTTCCGTCTGAGCTCCGCCAGCCCTTCACGGGCACCCGGCCGACTGGGAAGCACCCGTATGAGGGTGAGTTTCTCAAATGTGAGGTCTAACTTATGACGACTGCAAAAACCTTTGAAAACTCTTAAATTTCACATTTAACATATTTTAGATCATTGAAGAAAATCTGAAATAGGAAGACAGTCTTATGGCTTCTGAAAAAGTATTTTTCAGCCCTGGCCGGGTAGCTCAGTAGGTCAGAGTGTCCTCCCAACACGCCAAGGTTGCGGGTTCAATCCCTGGCCAGGCACATACAAGCAGCAACCAGGGCTGCACCCACCAGTAAGTGGAGCAACAAATGGATGTCTCTCTCTAAAATCTATCAATAAATTTTTTTTAAAAAAGTACTTTTCGTAACACAGTGACACTCTATTATGGTACAGGGGTCGCCACCAGGGGACACCGTCCGGGACTGCTCAGGGGAGTCCAGTCCCACATGTCTAGACCAGTCGGCCTTTATCACCTGCCGGGCACTGCACCCAGCCCTCCTGCCCTCCCACCCCTCCTGCGTTCTCTGCCCAATTCTTGCAACTTGTCCATAGGTTTGAAGTGCACAATAAGGCCAGGTAACAAAATACATCACCGTGAACCAGGACAAATGTGCTTCTGCTCACACACATTCCCCCCCACACCCCCTCCACTTTCAGACCGTGTTTCCTCAGCTGGGGTAAAAATAGCCTAAGACACAGGACAGACACCATTCCACCAACAGGCGGCCTGGGAGCCCAGGACGACACCGGACAGACGGATGGTGCCAGGGGACAGAGGACACCAGGGACGTAGCTGAGAGCCTGGGCCCACGAGGCTACCCACAGTGCCAAGCAGCACACCTGCGGCCAGCTGCTGCAGGTCCACGTCCTTCCCTGACACAAAGCCCGACGCCACGTGCCCCATGTGGTCTCCCGCACCCTCTCTGTTACAAGGGGTTTTAAAAGCAAATGCACAAAGTGGTACCTTAAACCCTAAGAGCGGGGGCCGGGAGCAGCTGGTGACGAACTTGAGCAGCTTGCGCTTCTCCGAGTCCGTGAAGCCCTCCACGACACGCCAGAAGACTCTGATCACCGGGTGGTCGGCAGAGTAGCCCCCTGACAGAGGGAACACGTTTCATCAGAAACCAGCCCTGTGCACAGCGGGTGCTCCCAGGGGCCAGAGCACCATGTGCATTGTCTCCACGGAGGTGGGCGGCCACCTCTACCAATGCCTGTCACTCTGTCCCTGGGGTGGTGGCAAGTTCAGAGGGGAGACAACCTCCGGAGGGGTCAGCGCACCAAAGGCCAGACAGGGAACACCCTGCTGTCCCAGGAGAACCCTGCGAAGGGTCTGAGCTCCAGGACCTCTGCTGGGAGTTCACGGGACCCCACTGAGGAGCAGACCCTACGTGACAGGAGTCACACGGTGGTCGCTGTCGGAAAAGGGCAGATGTGGGGACAGCTGAACAGAGCCAGCAGCCCACGATCTCAGTGTCGACGTGTCTCATCCCCTGTGCGACAGTGCCGCTCGGGTGTGCCCATGATCACTGTTCTATTTTCCTTTTCTTTTTTTTTATATCTTTATTGATTTCAGAGAGAGGAAAGGAGAAGGGGAGAGAGAGAGAGAAACATCAATGATGAGTCATTGTTTGGCCGCCCCCAACTGGGGATCGAGCCCGCAACCCGGGCATGTGCCCCGACCGGGAATCCAACCCCGATCGCCTGGATCCTAGGTCGATGCTCAACCGCTGAGCCACGCCCGGCCAGGCCAGACCACTATTCTAAAGCGTAGCATCTGCTACTTACAGCTTTTAATCTGCTTAAGTGCTTCCTAAAACTGAAATAATTGCCCTATATTGTTTCCTCATTGTTATATACTACAGAAATAACATCAATAAAGTATCTTAAGTGCATTAATTGGCACCAGAGTGAATACGGTAATATTTTAAACCTATTTACTGGAACAGCGGCGATCAGAGGTAGAAGCCTGTGCAGACGGGCAATGCAAACAGCCGAGGCAGCTCCTTGGCAGAGGAGAGGCTGGACTGATCTCACTTCTTAACACTTGTGACTGGAGAGTGGGGACAGTGTGACCGTAGTCTCCCTTTACATAAACACAGGTTCAAGTTCAGAGCGCTATGAACTAGTTAGAGGGAGATACACGCACACAACTATGTGTATATAAATACACGCGTGTGTGAGAGTGTGTGTATACAAGTAAATGATTTTAGCAAATTTATAGCCATCGCAACCATCGCCACAACCCAATCTTAGGACGTTTCCTTTCCTCCAGGAAACCATGTGCCCCACACACAACCGTGGTCTGTGGTCTCTAGAAGTGGGCCCTTCGGGGCACTTCACCCACACGGAGTTACGCCCACACGACCAAAACCTCTTTGAAAGTTACCCTGGAGGAAAGGCTGGGAAACAGCGTCCAACAGAACAGAGGCTCCAAGGTTGGATTCATTTTTTTAAAACGGTGGTAAAATAATATAAAATTCACCACTGAAGCCATGTCTAAGTGAACGATTCAGCGGCATTCACTAGCCACAGTGTTGAGCAGCCATCAGTGCTGCTTCCAATCAACTCCCCGGCCCCCGCGGCCTCTAACCCTTTCAGCGCCTCGGAATTTGCTATTCTACTCATTCCACAGCGGCTGAACCCTGCAGCAGGAGTCACCTGGTGTGCGTGGCTTACTCACTTAGCGTGACGTTTCCAAGGCTTATCATGTTGGGACGTGACGTACTAATCTCCCACCACATGCACAGACCACAGACCATGTTTGTCTACCCCTTATCCGGACGGACATCGGGGATGCTTCCACCTCTGCCTATTGTGAGCCACACAGGTAAGAACCAACAGGTGCGCCCAGAGGGCGTGGCTCAGCGGTTGAGCATCCACCTAGGATCCAGGAGACCAGGGTTCGATTCCTGGTCAGGGCACATGCCCGGGTTTTGGCTCCATCCCCAGTCAGGGGCGTGCGGGAGGCAGCCCATCACTGACTCTCACCAGTGATGTTCCAACTCTCTCCCTCTCCCTCCCCCTCTCTGAAGTCAATGAAGATTTCAATGAGGTCCGATTTTTAGTTTTTCTTTTCTTATGGTGGGATTTTGGGGCCAGCACTGCTCTTAAAAGACTGGAAGAAGCCCACTGCCCGTGAGCAGAGACCTAAGGAGACCTGTTGCGAAGAGGAAAACCCCACAAGGTGCGGAATGTGTGTAAGAACAAGGAAAGGAACGGAATCTGTATTTTCCTGTAAACGTACAGAGGCAGCAAGCAGAGTCGTGAAGAGGGAAGGGAGGAGCGGCAGATGGGACCCAGAACGGGGCTGTCGCCTGGGCCCCGCTACACACTCTGGGTTTCAAGCCCACAGGGCTAAAAATGTGTACCTACAGCCTTGGCCAGTTTTGCTCAGAGGTTAGAGCGTCAGCCTGTGGACTGAGGGGTCCCAGGTTCGATTCTGGCCAAGGGCACCTCCCTCGGATGTAGGCGCGATCCCCGGCCCTGGCCAGGGCGAGAGCAGAAGGCAACCAATCGATGTCTCTCTCTCCCCGCCCCCCCTTCCATCAATGGAAAAGACATCCTCAGGTGAGGATTAATAAATTAATAAACAATAAATAAAAATATGTCACCTACATAAAAACACACTGAAAATCACTGTGGGAGCATGATCACCGGTGACATTTTCAGGAGTAAACAGCGAGCAGCCGAAACAAACCTGAATAGTTGGTAAAGGATTTCAGGTCCTCTAGGCTTATGGGAACTTGTGCACCAGAAATCAGTACCTGAAAAAAAAATGCAATTCATAAGCCTGGAGGCAGGTGTGCAGAGCAGTGTGGCCGTGCCCAGTGCCCAGGCCCCAGGCGCAGCGCACCTGGATCTCCTGCTGGTCGAACATGCGCAGCCACTCCAGGTTGACCACATTGGCCAGGCCCTGGCGGAAGGCCAGGCAGTGCTGGCGGATCTGTTTGTTCAGCCTGTAGTCGGCCACCAGGTGGATGTACGCAATCCGGTTCGCGCTGGTGACCGGGATATCCTTCCCGCCAAACTTCAGTTCAACTACCTGGGAACATGAAAGCAAAGATGTAAAAACTCTCGAGGTAGTTCGACAGGGTCAACAAGAGCCAGAGAGAATGTCTCGGGGAAACCGGACGGTGAGCTTCGTAAACCTGGGTCTAAGCAGCAGGCGCCCCACCGGGCCCACCCAGTCCACGTGACTGCCCTGTAAACGGCGTAAGTAACAGCCCCGCACCCGCACCCCCAGCCACGTGACTGTGGCCCCTAGGGCTCAGCGTCTCAGCCAGGCGTCAGGACCGCTGGCCACCCCGCTCTCTCCACAGCACTAAGAATGGGGCTGGGCAGTCATGGCACCTTCACTGGAAAACCAGAAGCCCCACAGGGCCAAGACACGGACCCGTGAGGGACAGAGTCAGAGGGATTTGCTTTGGGGAAACGGCTCAGGCGCTAAGGCTGCAGTGAAGGGGTGACCCACACTGGGGCGCAGAATACATGTGCCTCTCTCTCCAGCGCCACTCCTGCTCCAGCTGAAAGGCGGTGGGAAGGTCATGGGAAGGATTAGAGAACTGACCCGTCACTTCTGTGCATGTGAACAGAACCGGGAAGAAGAGCTGGGTCGCTCTGTGACGCTCCCAGAACCTGCAGGCCTGACGCTCGGTCAGGAGCACCTGTGAGAAAGTGTGGGGCCCATGGGGCGCCCATCCTGGCTCCCGGTCCTTACTTCCACATGTGGCCACACACGTCCTCCCCCCAGCCTGTCGTTAGTAACATGATGACGTGGCTCTGCCTACCTTGGACCTGTGACTGCGTGAGCTCCTATCAACGACGGTGATGGACAGACACCAGGGACAACTACACACCCCTACGCCTAACGCCCAGTGCCTCGTCTGCTGGCACCGCAACAAAGGGAGAGCACCATGGACGCATGTGGGTGCTGTGACCTATGCCAAGGATGGAGACGTGCCCAGGAACCCCAGACGCACTGAGCACAGCGCCGAGTGACCCACAGAGCAGGAGCGGTAACTGCCTGCAGGAGGGGGGGGACACACGGCAGGCGTCTGGGGTAAAACCAGAGAGGCTCGGGCTGTGAGCGGTGGGAAGCCATCACCCTGCAGAGCCATCAGGCCCGAGAGGAACAGGACAACAGGGTTCGCTCTGGGCAATGGCTTTACCCCAATCCCCCCTTACAGAAGGTACCCTGAAATTCGCTGGAGAGCTTCCCCTAACTAGGCCACCGAGTCCGACGGTTACGGGAGCACCTGCGTTGTGATGGGACGCGGCCTTAGCAGGTCCCGACACCCCCCAATGCTGCCCCCGCTGCTCCAGCTGACAGGCCATCCGTTACCAGCTGCTGCTGCTCCATTTCAATATGGGAAATGCCACCCATCCCTTAAGTGGATTAAGGGCAGGTAACAAATGCTGATGTTCCATGTGATTCAAAGACAAAGGACCCTGGAGCTGATCCGTTAAAGACCCTCCCCCACATCAGACCCAACTGGACAGCACTGACTTTTCCAGGAACTTTAACTTGGTCCCTCGGTCACTTAATTCCTCTCAGGCTACACACACCTAAACAACTACAACTACACAGGTTCACAATCGTGTCAACTCTCCCGAGATGTCTGGGGGGGTGTCTCTGCATCTCTACGCTTGGACCCGAGTGGTTCTACGTACAGCAGAGTGGTCTCCTCCACACCTGGGGGAGTCCGAATTTCATGATGGCTCAGGAGGCACCGGCTCTCCCACCGCTCACGGGGCTCACCCGTCCCCGGAGCAGCCTCTGCCCCCTGACCTGGAGGAGGGGCCTCTGACTAGTCCAAGGTCACACAGTGAAACAGCAGCAGGAGCTACACCAAGGTCTCCTGAGTCAAACTGTTCACGGGATATGATTATGGGCCCATCGTAAACCCTGAGCCCGCCTCAGGGAGATGTGGACATAATCAGCCTGAAACTTCCGAAACGTCACGGTCTCCGTTCAGCAGGCTCACAGCCGCGCTGCTTATGGAGGAAAACGC